TGCGAATGACATCATTTGTTTTCTGGTGCTTTCACTTCCAGAGACAGTTGTAAGCACTGTGTAACTGCCTCGAGGGTGCTTGACCATTTTAACACAACGTGGTGCGATCATCCCCCTTGCGCGGAGTGAGGGTTCACCCCGCACAACATGATCTACTCAACCATCATTATGGTTACCGCCCAAAAAAAATAAACGGAGGAAAAAAAAAAAAACGGTAACCTGGTTGCCGAGTTCACGAAGTGAATTGGCTTGTTTTACAACGTCGTTGCCAAGCGACGAAAACCCAATCCCGATGGCAAACACCGGGGGGGGCGGCTTGTTTTACAACGTCGTTGCCAAGCGACGAAAACCCAATCCCGATGGCAAACACCGAGGGGGTGACTTGTTTTACAACGTCGTTGCCAAGCGACGAAAAGCCAATCCCGATGGCAAACACCGAGGGGGGGACTTGTTTTACAACGTCGTTGCCAAGCGACGAAAACCCAACCTCGATGGCAAACAGCGGGGGGGGCGGTGCGCGAGGGCGGGAGTACCGGGATCCGCCTCAAAAAGTACCGCCACATTGGAATACCGCCGCGCCTGTTTCCGCCTTAAAAACCTGTACCGACGTGTACCCTGGGTATTTTGGAGTTTTTGGGGGTATTTCGGAGGTTTTGAAGCGTTTGGAGGTTTCGGGTTATTTTGGAGAGTTCCGACCGGGCGCCCTCTTGCTGCAGTGCGGGAATGCGTGCACTGCTGTTCTTGCGTGCGGTTCGGTGCTGCCGGCTTCTTCCACAAAGCATGTTCTTTGCGTGGGAGAAAGAACGCCTTGGAACCTCCTTCAAGCCCTGTTGTATCAAGCGCCGTCAGGTAGCGGCCTTATTTTTTTGGTTTTGGTGTTGTAGGAAGCCACTTGGTGGTTCATGCAAGCCACAGACCATGGCTCTCCACTCACTGCAAATACTCCAATACATACCGACAGGCGGCATCACCAGGCCAGCAGCACACCGGCGGGAGGAGCCGCGGCAGCGGCGGCAGCAGCAGCGGCTGCACCGGGGGGGAGGCCAGCAGCAGCGGCAGCCGCAGCAGCGGCCGCTGCAGCGGCGGCGGCGGGAATGGGAATGGGGATGGGAATGGGGATGGGCATGGGCATGTATGGGGCGCACCCCTTTGCGGGGGTGCCGTATATGAGTCCTTACGGGTACATGGACCCATCCATGACCGGTTCCGTCCCTTTCGCGGTGAGGGTTTTGCGTTCATCGCGACCGAATACAGTTCAGTTATTTTAGCCTTGTGTGGATCGGTGCTGGCCTGATGAGTTTGGAGTTTCGCATGTTCTTGCATTTTAACAGCGCTTCGCACGGCTGGGGAATGAATTATGTTGCGGCCAACGGTAAGACCGCGCCGAAATTGTGGGAATGACGGGGTTCATTTCTGTCACCACGCGCCCAACTAGCACCAGAGACGTTTGGGACGTATGTAGGAAGATGTTCAGCATCAACACCTCTTTCCATTCACCCAGATGGTTATATCTAGACGTTGCAACGTGAGGACACCCCATGGGAGAAAACCTTGATTTCTTCTCCTTGTCGTCAGATTAGCAACAGTCAGTTGTTTGCTGGTCGGAATCAGGGACGAATGCATGGATGTTCGGACGTCCTCGGCGATGTGGAGTTGACCCACGCCTAAACCGTGCGTTTTGTTCGTTTGGTCGAGACCTCCCGACTCGATGGCCCTTGGAAGCGGTACCATGATACATACTACTAGCTGCAATAATAGCACATGGTTATTGAAGTACCATAGTCGACTGAATGCACCATCTCCGAAGGGAACCATAGGTCTTCATGTAAGTTTACGCAGATGTTTCAAGTACGCATAGCATGTTGGATAAAGTAAAGAATGGACTAAGTTCGGGTTCGGGTTAGGGTTAGGGTCTGCGTGCCCCCTGCCTGGTATTTTTTCGTGGCACGCTTACCTTCTTTGCGTAGGCAATCCGTCTAGTCTCGGTATTGCATCAATTGAACCCACGCAATGCTGCTGCGTGGCTCGCTGGTCGATCCTTCTGCTCGCTCGCTGCCGGCCGCGCAGGAGTTCTACGGGGGAATGTACGGCCACGCGCCATCGATGCCTCTATTCAACGCGTACGGGCAGCCGATGGCCACCTTTATCCCGCCGCACATTCCCATGTACCAAGCCGGGACCACCGAGATGCTGCCGGCGAGCATTCAGCTCCGGCTAGACCAGCTGGCGGCGACGGGGTTTTGCCATGCCGGAGAGATTGACGACAGGTATGATATGTGCATGCATGTGCCTAAGAGCTCTTGATGGTGTACCTACGGTGAAGTACAGCCACCGTCGCGAGCGTCCCCTCGCCTGCTGAAGCATTCTCTAGTCGATAGTATCCCCCCGTACCCTCGTTCGTGCTGCCATCCCCCTACCCCCTACCGTAAGAGTCGGAGTCTTGCCGTTTCGGCTCGTCTCGAGTCTCGAGTCTCGAGTGTTGGCTCTTGTGCGATGCGCGCGAGCGAAAGAACAACGGAACACGCGGCCTCAAGCCGACAAGGTTATATCCGAAACGGCCGCATGCAAGCATTCGCTTTCTGGCGAAGAGACGGATCGGCTGATTGTTCTCGACGTAGTGGTGAGATGTGAGATGTTTGACATGGCGCGGTGACGGGGCCTGATCGGCATCGGGTTGACGACTGCTGCGGGACTGTGAGAGACGGTCTAGCAGTCAGTGGCTAAAATTTTTGGTACTGTGCAGGTGCCCCAAGTTCTTTCGGGAGGTGCCCGAGCACATGCACGGAATTCGGCGGGACTGTGAGAGAATAGTTTGAGTTGTTGGCTGCTTTTTGTTTATGGTGCTGCTAATGTGCAGGTGCCGCAAGTTCTTGCGGGAGGTGCCCGAACACATCGCGCTGCAGGCAATAGAGGAGTTCATGTCGACAGAGCGAAAAAACATCCGGAAGGTCTCCGCGTACCTCATGGTGAGCAAATTGAATTTGACGGTTCACGTCACACCTCATTTGTCTTTCAAGAGTGCAAGACCAGTCCTGGGGTTTGGCGGTACATGTACCGTTTTCGAGCGGACTCCTACTGGCCCGTTGATGACGGGCACTGGTGATTAACTCTCGACGCTTTCTTCACGGTTGAGATCTCTGACTGACTGATATCATCTGCGTTGCGTGTTAAATCAACGCAAGGCTTGCCTCCTCGAAATATACTCCGCGGCAGAACTTGTGTTTGTTCGTGACACTAAATCAAGTTACCCTCATTTTTTTTTTTATAGGCTACATGGAACGACGAGGCTTGCGGCGTTGTTGATGCCCACGCCGCGTGGTTTCATGAATCTTTGTCCAGCGAACACGTTCACCATGTTGAATAGAACACTTTCGCGTACCGTATATGACACAAGATAACACATCCCCTGGACCGATTTTCATAGCTCGATTTTTCAAAAGCAGCAACAGTTACAGGGCCGAGAACGGCGGCGTTGAACCCATCTGTTCGAGAGCTCTCTCATACGTATCCTTTCGTTTATGCATCCTCTTCGTCGTGGAGTAATCGAGCTTTGAAAATCGGTCCAGGGGATGTGTTATCTTGTGTCATATACAGCACACACATACAAAGCCGAAGAGGGAGACTGCCGTCGCGGAAGAGACTGGCGAAAGTGTCGCACGACGCCCCTTCGTGTTCGCCACTGCCTCGAACGAAGAAAGAACGAAAACACCCATCCCAGAAGGGAATGACTCGAGTACCACGCCACCCGCCACCGTGTGTGCAACCCCAGGGCGTGATCCGAAAGCACGCCGACAACTACCGGGACTTCGTGGCCGTGGGGACGTCGGGGGGACCGCCTGCCGGGCTCCCTTCCCCGTACGAGGCGGGACTGAAGCGCTATCGCGAGTACAACGACTTCTGGGCGAAGCAGCAGCAGCCTAGGCCGCAGGGGTGCTCGGCCCTGATGGAGGTATGGGTACATACATGAGCACACAGGTCCATGGGTTGGGGTGGGGGAAGTAGGAGACGGCGCCGTCTCTCTCTGAGCCGTGTGAAAAAGTGAGGTAGTGCGATGTCTCTTGGAACCGTGTGAAATAGCTTCTGTCATGAGGCGGCTTGGTTTCTCTCGGAGCCTTGGTCACGGGCACGCTTTGTCCTCGAGGAGCTGGCTGTGAATTCGGTAAATTTGTATCCTTGTCAGCCCTCGTTGGATTAGAGTTTCAAATCTCGATTGCTCCACGGCAGAAGAAACGCAGGTGTCGCGTTGGAAAGGAGGTTCTCATGGTCTCACTGAAGAGCTTTCGGGAAATGTACGTATCAATCGGCGACCTCGCTTTGGTAGTGACGCAATCGAGCTTTTCAACTTGACCCTGGGGGTATGATAATATATCGTGAAATCCGGCATGGTGATTTGTATGCCTAGCTCTGGGAAAGGGACTCGGGATATTTTTCGTCCACGTCCAGGCTTTCCCACATGGGATTTCAATTCACACACACGGTTGTTGTTGCTGTTGTTCATGTCGCTCTGTCCACAATTAGAAAGGTCCTGACCTCTGCAGCATCCAATGCGTCGTCTTTCCCATTCTTCGAGCAACGAATACTGATTTCCCGTGGTCACAACGACCCAAACTAAGTCATACCCATACGGTACACATACATACATACATACATACATACATACATACATACATACATACAATTGAGTACAACAGAACGTACTTGTCACCGCTTTGTGTTTTTCGCTTTGTCTGTGCACCGGGGGGCACCCCAGCGCATAGCAGGGGCCCCGGCGAAGGTGCAGGCAGGCATCACCGACCTCATCGAGAAGGGCATAGCGATGGAGTGGGACATCGACGTCCGCGTAACAAACGCGTTCTTGGGGGTGAGAGAAAGGCCGCGTGCCGATCCGCGAAGAAATTAACGAAACAGTTTTTGAATCGTTGACCCGCAGACGTTTATTGTGTTCTCTTGCTGTGTGTGGGTGTTTTTTTTCTTCTCCCATCATTGGACTCTGTCGTCTCCCCCTCTGACCCCTATCCTCCACTTCTACTAGCTAGACGACCCAACCGGGGTCACATAGGAGGGGGGGGCTGGACCCCCTCCTGCGGTTCCTGCCTGAGATATTTTTATCGCGAGAAGGGTACAGCAATCCCTTCCCTCGCGACTTATGAAGTCGATCAAGTTTGAAGTATTCAACAACGAGCTTTGCAGCGCGTCGCTTTCATCCTAGACCAGGATTTAATTAGGGAGAAAAAACTCTCTCTGCCGGGACTCGAATCCATGACCTGGCCCTTAGCAAGCTGCGAGGTGACCCACTAGACCACGGGGGCGACCGGTGTGGGTGTGTTCTTGCGGTCGGCGCGGTTATTATTGTGCCATAGAGGTGGTATCTTTAGTGGATCGAAGGAGGAAGGGACAGGTTGTTACCTCAAGACGACGAGACGATACCACTCTCTAGACGACGAGACGATAGCGCTGCAGCGAAAACAAACACCGCTGCGATGCATTGACTAAAGGCTACCCCACGCCTTGTGGGGCGCGCACGCCGTGTGCGTTGCTTGTCTCAATCTGTGTTTGTTCATCGCACACTGTAGTAGGGGCGGCCCCTTTGTGTACAAAATACCCACAAACCTGGCCTGTCGCTCTGTTTACGGCCGGTTAGAGATGGCACAAAAAGAATATCCGAGGTGTCCCTCCGACCCTCCGGCCACCGTGCCGGATGCTCACTACAAAACGCTGGCGTGTTCTCTTGGCAACGTGCGGCCTTTTGGGGTATTGGGCCGTCCGTACTCGGGGCCTGCTGTACACGCGCTGTGCGCTCATCACGCCGCTGTGACGTTCCATGGGCCGCCTTCGACCTTTTCGTTATCGGATCCTGTCGCGTTTCGCCGTTCATGACCCGGGCGAGAAACATGAAGTAGCTGTATTTTATAGAGTTGCTGAACAGAATAATGCTGCATTATTCTCCGCAGAGAAAAACCAAGGTTGAAAAGCGACATCGTGCGCGGATGGATAGGTAGACGGGGTGGTCCATGGAACACCACTGCGGCGAAATGAGAGCACAAGGCACGTACAGCAAGCAGGAGTGGCCCTGTTTTAAGGCCGCATATTGCCCAGGGATGAGGGCGGCCTTATCACGCAGTGGTGTTTTTTTTTTTATGTAACTCCGATCAACGCATCCACGCAACTTTTCACGACTAAGATAGTTTGCCGACTTTTCACTTTTCATTTGTCGCCGACATTTGTTACCTCGCTTGCTTTGTGCGTGCTTTCGAAACTGGTGGGAAGCGTGTTTCTTTGTTGTTGTTGTTGTTGTTGTTGTTGTTGTTGTTGTCGTTATGACGTTATAATGCTTGCCGACGTTACGTTTAATTTGTTGCGCGTTTCTTGGCGCAGCTTACGGAAGAGCAAGGCGTCGAGGCCATCGAGGAGTTCGCCTCGTGCGACATGACCCGCATTCGGAACAAAAGGTCGGTGCACTTCACCCCGCGTCACGCGACGTCACTCAGCCGCTCTTGTTGCTACGTACAGCAGTTCAAGACATGCGTATGATGGCTACGTCACCCTCCCCATGCCTATTTTGATCAAGCCGTAGTTGGTGCGTGTGTTATCCTACGCTTGCCGCAGTGCGCATGCAGGAGAATGGCGTGGAGTGCACGCAGAGGACAGTCGATGAAGTATTCTCAAGTGTGGCCTTTTCGGAAAGCGAAAGCACCAAGCTCTGCGCGGTCGTTGTACGTGTACATGGTCTTTTGGTTTCCTCCTCATGCTCCTCCTGCAGCCTTGTGCCTGTGTGCGTGCCTTCTGGCTTCCCGAAATGGGCACGTCTGGTGTCCAGCAAGGGCTTGGTCAACTCCCGGGGATGACGATGCCTGCACTGCTTGTTGTATGGTTGGCGCTCTAAGAGCGAACGTGGATGGGGCGCATGCGACAAGGGCCGACTCTCGATTGGTCTCGCTGTATTCAGAGTTGCTGCAGTTTAGCTTTCTCTCACGGCAATAAGCTGTACGTGCCCGGCCGACACCCCCCCTCGCTTGCGTAGGACCGGTGCCGACACGTCGTACCTTGTATTCGGTGTCGGTATCCCGCCCTGCGGTAGCCAGGATGAGGCCTGCCTGGTGTGTGGTAACACGCAAAGCCGCGGCGATCGCGACGTGCCGCCCTCTGTGCTCGGTGTTTGGGACGACGTTCCGGGCGCGTCGCGTTTGGTTTTCTAGCGAGACACGGCAACCCGTTCTCATTTGGTCCACACCTGGGGGTTTACCGAAAATGACACAAGATAACACCCCCCCTGGACCGATTTGTCAAATCTCGATTTCTCAACAACCGAAAGAGTCACGGCGCCGAAAACGGCGGCGTTGGAACCGTCTCGTCGAGAGCTTTCCAAAAATGTATCGTTTCGTTTGTGCATCCTCTTCGTCGTGGAGTAATCGAGCTTTGAAGATTGGTCCAGGGGGTGTGTTATATTGTGTCATATACGGTAAGCTTTTCCTCCCTGCCAAAAATTTTCCAGCGCTTGGCCCATCAGGGCGCTGAAGCGACGCTAAGCTGACATCTTCTCCTGCCGTGACGAGCCCTATCCCTACCTCTTGATCGCTCCCTTGCCTGGCAGCGCTTACCTGATGGGCCTGCTGAAGCGGTACAAGTCTGGCGCACCCCCGCCTCCTGGACTTGCCCAGCGCTGATCTGAGCCGGATGAGAGTTAGTGGTGAGGATACCTAGATCGACGCCGCGTTTTGCTGCTGCTGCTGCTGCTCCTGGGGCCCGTTGGTTGACAGTCGCACTTTGAGGCATCTTGTGTCTTCATGACTTTTTGTAGATTGTGTGTGAAAATGTGCGGCTTGTGATCAGGACTGAAGCAGTTTCGGTGAGGACAACACAAGAGAAGACGGCGCTTGTGTTTTGACCCTGGCGCTTGTGTGGGCAGGTCTCGAGTTTCATGAACACGTTGCGGTTACCGTTACGCCCGATCTTAAAGGCTGTCGTGATCTGTCACTTTTGTTGTGCGGTTAGCGCCTACGAAATCGATCTGCGTGACTATCGTGATCCGCATGGCGTATCGCGAGTGCTTGAGGTCAAATTAGCTTGGTGCACTTCACCACGCCATGTGACGCTCTTTGATTCTGTGCTCGAGGTATCGGCGGGAGGGTCTCACTCGTGTCGTCATAGTTATGCCGCCTAGCGTCGCGGCAAGCAAACCGTAAGAGGCGGAGAAAGAGAGAGAGAGAGAGAGAGAGAGATGGCACCCCCCCCTTAGACCAACTTTCAAAGCTCGATTCGACTTTGCTACTCAACCAAGGGGGTGCCGGAAGAACCCGATACGTCGACGGAAAGCCCTCGACATGTTTCCAAACCCACATCTTTTGGGTGTAGGCACAAGCTTGGTTGTGGAGCAATCGAGCTTTGAGAATCGGTCTGGGAGGGGAGCCACTTCTCCGACTATTACGGAATGCCCCGGTACGGTATACGGTACGGTACGGTACAGACAATCTTGGTTGTGGAGCAATCGAGCTTTGAGAATCGGTCTGGGAGGGGAGCCACTTCTCCGACTATTACGGAATGCCCCGGTACGGTATACGGTACGGTACGGTACAGACAATCTTGGTTGTGGAGCAATCGAGCTTTGAGAATCGGGCTAGCCAGGGGGTGTCATCTCTAGGCCTCTTTCGGTAGTCATTTGGCTGTGTTGTTTCTCCCATTGTGGACGTCTTCTCCACGACAGCCCAGCCCTCGCTCGATACGTGTATTCCTTATCTACCCCCTTAACCCCTTCCCTTTCCCGGAGTTTCCCTGTCCTGTTCGCGCGCCGCTTCGACCCGACAACCACGCGCCAAGTGTCTCGCGTGCTCGGGCGCGAGCTTCTCCCACAATGCAGCCCACCACCGTTGAAGTTTTTTTTTTCCTTGCCGTCGATCGTTGTCGCCGCCAACCCTTCCGCTACCGCCGCCGCTCCCGCCGCCGCTCCCGCCGCCGATGCCGATGCCGATGCCGATGCCGATGCCGCCCCCCTACACGGTAGAATATGCTTCTCTCGGTCCCGCTCGGTCGGTCAGACGGCGGTTGGTTTCCTCTCGTCGCAGCCCGGAGTTTCTTCCAAGAGTGATTCCGAAGAGAACGCGCCGTGACGCAACGTGATAAGCTGCGCCGCGCGGCTGCTGCACACGTCCTTGTCAAGCTAGGCTGCCCCCCGGGCAGCTGAGAGTGGGCAGGCCTGTGCATCACACCCCCCGCTCGCGGTGGGCGTTGTGATGCCATCGAATCGATGTGCTGTGTTCCCATCGTGTTCCGTTTGGTGCCTTTCCTGACCATCGGCTGGCTACAGTTGGAGTCGGTCGAATCTGCAAGGCATCGTCGGAGGAAGCTCGAGCCAGAGAGAGGTACATAGCCAAGTTTTTAGCGTTTCGCCGTCGGTGTTATATGTGCTCGCTCCGGTACACTCGACAACACCGTTTCCCGAGATAAATAGCATACGTAGAATCGGGGATTTCCTAGACTTTATGTTGCCATGTGCGTGTTTTCCCGATAAAACTGTATTCCATATTTACTTGGGACCAAGATTTCAACGGAAATGTATACCCCTTGATTCGGAGTACAGTTTTTCGGAAATGGTTCCCTCTGATCGAACCTTCCCGGGAAAATAGCTTCGGGTTTTGGGTCGACACCTACTTTTTCTTTCCGGTTTTTGTTTTCTTTTTCTTTCCTTTACTCCTGTGTGTTTTTCAACTTCAACCCCCTATAAGTACTTCGAAGTATCATTTTTTCTTCTTATCGTCGCTGGCGAATCGCACGGTTTTTTGTATTTGGTGCGGCTCCTTTTTATATTCCCTTCTGCGGTTGTTTGGGGACGTGCCGCAGGGGCTACGGATCATTCTAATCAGTGCCACTCACGTATTTTAGAGGTTAGGTATATACGGAACGCCATGTTCTGAAGATTTATCGGCTGTGTGTGTGTCGCTGAGGAGACTGTTTTTCGTGCTGTTTTGGTGTGGGATAGCAACAACGACTGGGTGGTACCTCGCTGGTGGGACATCGACACCGCACACTGGCCTATACCTATCTGCCTCCTTGGGTCTCCAAGCTCTTCTTGTTTTTGTGCCGGCCGCGCTCCGTCAACGGCCGGTCGCCAAGATTTGGATCGTTCTCGTTTTTGTTTTTGCTCTTCTCGCGCCTCACCATCTCTGTGTCGTACGCATTTGCGGGTGAAGGTTAATTTTTTTGTGGGCTGCTGTGCTGTGTTTGAGTGTAGGCGACGGAAAGACCTTTTCAGCGGCGTCCAAGCCAACTGGTACTCCGGGCCAGATACGTGATTAGAAACGGGTGCGTGGATTCGGTAGAGTGGTTGTCTGAGAAGCTTTTTTTTTTACATTTTTCATGTTTTGTGTTGTGGTACCGAACTTTTGTCAAAAACTAAGTGCTGCTGTGACTTTCGCCGAGTAAAGATGTTGTGTGACGTTGGCTTGGGAGCCGACGTGTCTTTCTTCAGATCTGTTCTTGGACATTTTTCTTTCATGTTTTGCTGCAACAACGGGTGCCCTGTTGTTGGAAGGGGCTAGCCGAGAGAGGCGGCAAGAGCTTTCTGATGTGGAGGGGGGCATTGGCTTGTCCGTGTGCGCCGTCCGGTGCGCCGGTCGGTGTGTTTTGCTGTTTTTTGGGGAAAGAATCGCACTGGGACGAAGTTCTTGTGCATCACTCTCACTGTGTCGTGCCTGGGCTCTTTACTCATACACACGTGTTCCGTGATCGCCACCATCGAGTGTAGTAGTCTCGCTGATACGTTGTGTCGCCTTTTGACGCGAGGCTCGGTGGCCAAGAAACGCCAATCCGATCAACATGTGCGTCGATGCCCGCGTGCCCGCGTGGCGCCTCTGCCGTGTTTTGTCTACGGGATAGAGGAGGGTTGTTTGTTGTTCTGCTACATAGAAGTGCGAATCTCGTGCTAGGGGGCCCGTCGTTGACCTTGTCCATGGAGGGGGGGGGGTGGAACCGTTTCGTATGGGTGGCGTCTTTATATATTTACAACATGCGCTCCCGTCTTTTTGGTGGTTTTCTGGGTTTGGTTGGTGTTGCTGGTATCGCGTGGCTAGGCCGGATGGACATCCTAATATATGTTGGCTTTTTCCTCGTACCGTACTAGGGGCAATTCTTCACTGGAACGTGTTGTAACGTTGAAGCAGAGAAATTCAAGCGCCGCTCCCCTTGCTGGGAAAGACGATGTTGCCTTCAGTAACAGATATCCTCACGATGTTTCGGATCCATACCGTTTGTCATTTGCCATGCGGGTGAACGTTTTTGAAGGCGTTAACAGGCAAACGTGGCACCATGTTGCAACACGATGCAGCAAGTTCTCGAATAACCACCATATTCTTTCCACCGTACATATCGCATACTTGTGGAACTTTGGTCTGGCTCGGTCATCGCCTTGAACGACACTAATATGTCGATCATGTCTTGCTGCTACTCCCTCCTCGAGAAGCCGAAGTAGCAGCCGCAGCAACCTCAAATCTGTTCGGCCAGTCACGGCAGTGATACGCCACCGCGCATGGGTTTCCTTCCGAGCAGCTGCAGCTCTCTTCCCTTCTCCCCTCTTTAGCGCACTGCTCCCCTGTAGATGCCCGTAAGATTCGGTGGGCACGACGGAAAGACACCAGACGGCTTCGCAATCTCGCCTCTCAACATCAATAACACGAGGAACAACAAGATTGGAATGCGCGATCTGACACATGATGAACCGCCAACGAATCCGTTTTATCTGCCGCGTGTCTACCACAATGGACAAGCTGCTAGGTGAGTTGCTGCAGTTGGTACCTTGATTTCTCTCCTCATTTCATACCGCCAGCAGTAGAAGCGCTGCCATCGGGGCTACGCCCTTTAGTGGCCGTTGGAAATCTGTTCCCGCTTTGTTTTCGGTAGCATCATAGTCTACAGCAGTGGTAGGTCTTCACCGAAGCCGTTACTGACCGGTAAACGGATGATGTTTGGAAACGATCTTACCCGTGGAGAGAAGCTCGAACATGGGCTGTTTCGAGGAATGCATCATCGCCGTTCTTGACACCTCTTCGCCATTCAGGGTTTTGAGGGTTTGCAAGCGCTACAGCACGCATCGCATACCAACAAGGCAAGTTCGAAATCGGAAAGGGAACGAAGAGACACGTGTCAACGTCAAGCGCTTGTTGTCGCGGGTAAGTCGTCTGCCACCTGTAATTTACTGTATGTCTGCTGGCGGTGTGTCCAAGTTCCTGGACTACTCCGACGATGGGTAGGGGCTACAGTTACAACGTAGATGAGGTTTGGAACCAATCTCTTATCGAGGACTTTCACACAACCCCTTGTGGATACCTTCCCCATCAGAGGGGTAAAACGTCGTTTGAAACACACCGATTCACGTGATAAGAGGAGACTGTGTTGCGACCGTTGACTGCGCCCCCCCCGTGCAGCAACGCAGTGAGGATTGCATTGACTTCCTGGTTTCGAAATAACTCTTCTTTCAGGGCAGGGCTTCTCCGGGTTGCTGGTATGGCACCGTTATCTCACTGTGGTTATTCTCAGAAGCTCGTCATGGACCTCGCCCTCGGCAGGAAAGTTGTTCCTCAGGTCAAGGCTTGCCAGACGAGGGAACCCCGCTTTGGCAAACGTCTCCAGCACATGACGACCGTCTCCGTTTTGAGAACCAAGCTCGTTGTTGGCAAGGTTGAGGTCGACCAGAGACGTCAGGACGTGGAGGGGGCTCGTCAGGCTGCTGCTAGCAGGGACACTCGCAACCGTCTGATGTTTCGGTACGGCCGCTTGCGCGGCTTCAGGTTCGTCTGCTGCGGAGATGTCCAGTCGCTTAAGCCTGGTACCACACATTCATTTAGCCTTCCCTTGTCATGAGTGTAGAAGTTGCCATTGTTGACATTATTTTACACGAAAATCTGAAATGTGCCGAGTTATGGGTTTCGTTCGGTGCCAAAGGCTAAGGCACCGAGTCAAGCAAAATATTCCCCTCGCACAGCACAAGCTCTTCATACATCATCAGGGTAGGTTGGTCAGACTAGAAACATGGAGGGATGGAATGATAGCCCTTCTGTCTTCTGTAGGGGGTCGAATGTCTCCACTGCATCTACCCGCACAACAGTTAAATTATTCGACGTGTACTATACTAGCTTCCTCGGCACGGCGCCTGCGGTCACGCCCTACCTACAAGACGCCTCGTAACTCCCTCACGTTTCCAAACGTACGACTGCCGGCGGTAAGGCTACCTACCAACCACCCCCACCTGTTGCTCTCGAGGCTAAGTCGACGGAGGGTCGGTCCTAGTTCATGAGGGAAGCAGCAGTGGCGAAGGTAGCTGATGCTGTTGCGAGCAAGGTCCAAGGCCTGCAGCTTTTTAAGGTTGCCCAGGAAGGGCACCCTAGAAAGGGAGTTTTCTGATGGGCGCCGGAGGACGGACACACAGATAGAGTTTGTGAAATCAACACGAGATCAGTATTGGTTATGCTAGGGAATACACTTGGGGGTGTGAAGAAGCGTCATGAGCGAGAAAGGGACACAAATGAAACGCCCAACCCGGAATTTCCAACGTGAATGCCCAAACATTCTCATTGAAGGGATGTGGAATAGGATTCCCCCAACACGTTCTTCGATAATTTCTCCGATAGGGTTAGAAGAACAAGCGCACCTCTGCATCTACATGCGATGATACCGTTCACGAATGCTCGACGAGTTCACGACCGCATGAAACTTGGCTTCGGACAAGAGAAGTCACACGTTGCGACGTGCAGGTTCAATGATGTGAAAAGACACTTGATTAAGGAAACATGGGCCTTCTGAGCCCAGAAAAGGGTCCACACTTACTTGGGACTTTGGCCCCCACATCGACGGAGAATCTTGGAGCTTCAATAGTTGACCTACAGTATTTAGGTTTTGATCCCACCTATATACCACCTAAAGTGAACATCATTCGTCAACATCACGCACGCGACCAACGCACCAACCTAGTATGTTAAGCATCACGATATCACGATACAGGTGCACCGTTACCTGCCGCACGCAATTCCCTGAGCCACGGAGTCCAAGCCGCAACCATATCTAGACCGGCATCACCCAGCTGGGTTTCGCTCACATCGAGGCTGATCAGTCCGGTCGCCAGCAGCTGTCGAGCACATACCGAAGTAGTCGCTAACGGCAAGTCGGTGCCGCGGAGTATTAGTCGCTCGACAGATATATTTTCGTCTGCGTGTCCATTCGATGCGTCGCTTTCGCCTCCACCGGCGTCGCCTTGTGTGTCGCCTGTCGAGGTCTGCCCAGCCGTAGCACATGCCGCCACTCTGTCGCCGTGTGTGTATTTCGGACCGGGATACCGCGTTCAAACGTGATCGGCCGGCGTGCGTGACTCGTTCGAAGTGAGTGCTATCACCGAAAAGGGAGGGTGAACCGATGTATGTGTGTCTGCACCGACGCTACGGAGGAAGCTACAGCGAGTGGTCGTAGACATACCCGTGTCAAGTTGCCGAGGTCAAAAACAAGAACAACATCAGTCGCTCCTACAACCACCGGTAATGCATTCGAACAAAGCGAATCGTGCTCTGCATCCGTGTATCTTCGGGGGATCATTCAAACCGGAAAGCCTCTGGCGTTGATGCGTGAAGAACGGCCTGAGCAGCATGTTTCGTCAATGCCAGTTGCCGCCCCCGAGATGCCGGATCTTGCAAACGCTTCCACTCCTCAGGAGGGCTCAGCTTGCCTCCAAGGGGAGATCTCGAAGTGCAACAATTCAAATTGCGCAGAACGGAATGCTTAAGAGAGAATTCAGCTCACAAGTCTGGTGGCAATAGCGTTGTTGGTGGTCCTTGCCTCGGCAACCTCCCGTGTCTCACAAACTCGTCAGAAACTCACCCTTACGTCGTGCTTCCAAGCTCCACCCGACCCAAACGCTACTCCCAGCTCACCTGCTAACAATCTTAGTGTTCTGGGTTACAACTATTCGAACTCAGCCCCAAGTTGATAGCAAGATATGTTGCTGCTGCTGCTGCTGCTGCTGCTGCTGCATGTGTTGTGGTGTGGTTGTCACCTGAACCCCGTCCACGGATCGGCAATTTCTTCCAGTGGCGGACCATCGACAGCGACTTTCGTAACACGTTTCTTCGCGCGTGACCCTTTTGTCGGCTTCTTCCCTCTACCCGCCATCCTTCAGTCCCCAGCTACACTGTCTCGTACCGGCACCAATGTTGAATCTGTAGACTAATTAGTGTAGGCGAAAAGTTGTAGTCTTGGTGTTTCGTGTACTTTCATGAAAGAACAATCATCATGCAGTGGTGCCCCGTGGAAAAATTCGAAAAAATGCGGCGAGATGTACAGGACGTCAATTGGTACGCCAAAGTCAGGGTAACCCACAAAATGGCGCGTCCCACAAGCGGGGGACAAATAGAAGCAGGCGAGTCGCGCAAGATTCATCCCATCCGTTGGTTTTGAAAGGCCTGTCAAGTGCAGGGTGGCAGAGAATTTAGAGAGAAGAAGCACGAAGTTACGTTTCGCGCGGAAACGACAGTTTCACTCTCTTTGTCGGCGCGTCGGCGCTCGAATTTCGTCGGGAGCGGTTACGCCGCATTCCGCCTGCCTTGTTCGCGTCGACCAAACGCCCGCCGACTGAAGTCTTTGCGAGCATACAGAGTACCGCCGAAGCTGCAGCATCATCATCCTACCTGCATCATGCGTCTCAAGCCTAGAAAAATGACACGGCTGCTACAACTGGCCATGGTTGCCGTGTACACGGCCACGGGCAACGCACGATCCTGCACCACCACTCGTGTGGCAGATATGGACAACTACGGTAAACTGATGCCATACTTGTACACTGACCGAGAACAAAGTAAGCTGTGCACGCGCATGCCTCTGTAGCACCTCACTCATCTTTCAACTTTCTCTTTCCCCGCTGCACGATCATGTCAGGGCCGGGAGTCTCGCTAGCGTCGGTGGAAGCCTCCACCCCCTTCGCAACCGGCTCGTACAACGCAATTGTCGCTTTCGATGCGACACACTGTGTCCAGGTGAACCCACAAGCTATTGTAGCACGGACACAAGGCAGATACTGCAACTTTACCCCGTATCTAAACCCTTAACCCTGTTGTTGTTATGGCTGGTCTATTCCAGATTGTCTTTATCATAGTATGTACTCGAGAGTAAATGTAGTCGACAGTTGAGTTGAGAGAAAAAAATGTTCCGAAATTAGACTACAGTAGACCTTGTTTTACTTGTCTACAACCTTGGCGCCCAAAAAACAAGAAATAAAAAAACGGAAACTGGACAGCTCGACTACTCCCAGAAAATCCCAAAACTTTCGACATAGTCTAGACGCAAGCCCTCTGACGGACGACTGGTTGATTGGGTGAGACGAAAAAAATGTAGATGTAGGCTGTTTGGTATCGGATTTATTGTACTGCAGGCTGCTGTGCGTGAATATACCACAGAAAACCCGCAGGATTTGTGTCAATCAGATTCGAGGACGCAAGTCCTTACAACGCCTTGTAAGAGACAATCCTGTCGCTATGCCAGATTTGGGTAGCGATTGATTGTGTGGCAGCACCAATCACCGCAGGGCTGTCACATACTTGGAAGACATCGAACGAAAACACTTGAAACTTCCCCCTCAACACTTAAGTGGCCTTCTATCGGCAGCCTGGAGGCGTACTTCCAGCAGGTTGTCTGCCGTAAGACCTCCTTCCAAAGGAGTCTTGTCACTTCTGCCGGTTCGAGTGGGAACTTGAAATAGTTTCTAATGAAACCGTCAAACGTCATTGTGGAGTCATCAAAGCTTCGGTTGAATTTGTTCTGGAACATTGCATGTGAGTTCATCGGAGCTCCTCCTCATTCGACTTCTCCGGAGAATCTCGGGAATGCACGTATCGTAGAGACCAGTGAAAGCGTTAATGTACGAGCGCCCGTGTAATGTAGCACGAGCGGTTCAGTGGAAGCTTCCATGAGTTGGATGGAACCCAATTTGGAGCTCCGACATAATGCAGGAGTAGCGGACGACCCTTGCAAAATGCCCTTCTCACAATGATCTACACCGCAGAAGGGGTATTCCTTACCATTTTTTTCCGGCAAGAACTATTAAAGTTTCTATCCGTTGTGCTACCTACACGACTGGCAGATGTGCTGCGAGCAAGAAGAGTGTGCCCGTGCTGTCTTCAATGAAGGGGAATCTATTTGCTACCTCAAGGGGTCCGAAGCGGTGGCGAGCTACCACGACGTGCCCGCCATCGGCGTATCAACTTATTCCATCAACACAAGAGAAGGTAAGCTCTGTCGCGTAAGCCGAAGTTGCATGAAAGCGCTTTGATAAGAACACTCAGCGACACTGAATTTTCGCAATGTTGCGCAGGTATTCAGACCACCGAAACATGTTGTGGAGGTTCATTGCACGGATTAACTATTTACCAAAAGAAATCGAGCTTTGGGTTCGATGCGACCAATGCCTGACATCGTAGAGATGTCCGTCAGAAGCAGGAGTGGGCTATGTGGTACACGAGTGTTGTGGTTGTTATACATGAGCCGCGACGCGGTGTCATTGTTGTTGGGTCTTCGCGGCTAGATATATCACTGTTCGACGTGGATCATGAGGTCTATACTCTTTTCTTGCAATAAATGAAGGTCACTCCGAGCCTGTGGAGCTGGTGCCGACGCAGTGCAGCAGCAAGCGAGGGGTTGCTTTCGGGTTCAAAGAATCGGACGACCTGTACACTCTGAAGAAGGGAATTTCTTGGTGGTGAGAGTCGAACGTTCTCTGACACCCGGAAGGAAGTACGGCGTGTGTCTTTCAGGTGATGAAAATAAGTACCCTTGGATGACGGTATCGAGGAAACACAAAATTAAAACCCTAGGGAACATGTCTACTTGTGGCCAACTGCTGTTGAATGGTGCTGACCACCCGAAAACTCTTGGAACGGCGGCAATCTCTGCTTCCTCGGGCTATACTTGCTGTAGCACCTGATTGTTTCATCCACTCGCATTCGGAATCTAGCAATTCCAAAATATCAGGACGTGTTCGTCTCATTCCACGTTTTTTTTTTGCCAGACACGTGGTGATTTAATCCGTTTCCACGTCCTTGAATGAGCATCTGGGATGTGAACGTTTGGATAAAGGGATGCTTCACGGAGGGATGACGTCAACCGCAGTAAAACAAGGTTGTGATTGCTAGCAATACCCAAGCACAGCATGATTCTGATGGTTGCCTCTGTCCTCTACCCTCTACGACTCACCTGCACAAACATGGATATAGAAAGGAAAAATGGAAGAAGCAACAAAAATACTACCAACCACAACAAATCACTGGACACTCGACCATGCCGTGTCAGGTATGATTGGTCCCCGGGGTCCCTCGCGGACGGAATTTTGGAAGCATCGCTAACCCAGGGCTCATTGTACGTTCCCATGATCTGGGGAGAGGGCGACTTGACAGAGGAGCGCCTGAGAGATCTTGCGTGGGTAGGGGACACCTCTCCTTACTTGCTCGGGTTCAACGAGCCAAACTACGGGGAACAGGTCCGCGTAGGGAAGTGGAGGCACGGATCGGGTTGGACATAAGGGTATGAAGACGCGAGGGCCACCAGCGTCGACGTCGCCACCAAGACCAAAACAACGACGGCAATGCTAACATTTCAAGTGTTTTGTTTCATGCACTGCAATCAATCTGTTTATCGCGCCACCGTTCAGACCCCAACAAACCAGCTATCGTTCGATCTATCCGCCCTTTGGTGTCTCTGCTGCCGAACACGTACGTTCAGGCAAATCTCACTCCTCAGGAAGCGGCTGACCTGTGGCCTCAAGTTCGACAACAGGCGGACGATTTGGGCATGGAGCTGGTGTCCCCAGCCGTCAACTTCTGCTACGGGAATTGTGTCGAAGAGGTACTGTACAACCCAAAGCCATCCTCGGTCATCAACTACCGAGAGCCAGCTGGCAGTTACAGCAAACGCCAGAGGTTGTTGCGAGAAGTGGGTCCGAGAGGTACTCCATACGCATACAAGCAGCTCGAGTGAAAAAAATAGAAAAATGGCCACTCCCGCCCAAGAAGGCTAAGGGAGCGTTGATTCCGATCACAAACCGCGTACGTCGTGGAAGAGGGAAACACGGAAGACAAAAGTACAAAATCGGCAGCATCACCATTTGCAGATCTCGTGCTCGTGTAGTTGTGGCTAGAAGCTATTTTGCCAGGGCCAGAACCGAGAATCCGACCCCCACTTTGGAAAAGATATGCGGAAGGATTTGCCGCAACGTCTGTCGATGTTTCCCCTCTGCCGGAATCAACCAACCCCATTGGCAGAAGAGAAGCGCGACGCCCCTGCGGTTTGCCCATTTCTTCGCGGTCTACATGTAGCCGCAAAGAAGAAACATTGCGAGACGTTGACTAACGTTTTTTGTGTGTTGGCGCAGGACCCCATCAAGTGGCTCGATGACTTCTTCGAGGCGTGCGGTGGCGACGTCGAAGGCCGCGACTTCTGCGGCATCACGTACATAGCCATTCATTCTTATACATGCAAGGTGGGTCCCTTTGTTGTGATTGTTGGCGCGATGGGCTTCTTGGCGCCACAATCGATGGGTCATTCCTTGGTTCGCTGGCTCCGTTTGTTTGAAGAGAGGGGGACAACTCTACACGGGAGGAGCTGCCATATCTACTTCTGACGAGAATCATTCATGAGATTGGGGCTAGCTCATAAGTTCCCAACGCGCGTTAGCTGCCGTTTGTGTCAGATTCCGACACCACCCAAAGAGGCCAACCGACACTATCGGGGGGAATGTGAACCGGATGTTTGTTTCAACTTCGCGACTCTAGGCATCCTCTGCCACCTCACCCTTATCGTTGTTGACCATAACTCGTCATCAATGTGTACGTTTTCACACAGGTCAAGTACCTGAACAAGCACATCCACATGTACGTCCAGCGGTACGGTTTGCCGATCTGGTTGACCGAGTTCGCCTGCGGTTTCGAGGCAACCGAGCTCGACGCAAACGGCCAGGCGAGTTATTGATGTTGTTGCCTTCAAGGTGCGCAATTCTGTGACCTTCTACAGCGGTGCGTGCTTCTACCGTGCAACAAATTTCTCCGCCACCGGAAGCGGATTTGTTTCCTTCACAGGCTATAGGTGAATCCTCGACCACGCCTCTGGAGCCCGCAAGACTCCAATATCGCTCCTTCGTAGTTATCGGTGTGTCTTGCGATGAAAAAAGCAATTGGGCTTCTAAGCGGGGAGGCATCAGCGCACTTGACAACCCTTTCCCCCCAAAAATTCAAGGAAAGCCGTCGACTCACACCAACCGGGGAACCAGGACAGAGAATGAACGGAGCAACTGGTGGCCAAATGATGTTGTTGCATCTCGGACGCGACCCGTGCAGAGTAGTGATGGAGATGTCACGTGGAGGGGGGAAAATAGGCGGTGTTGACCATCGCGAAGCACGTGTAGTCGCCTGTCAAGCCCCTAACGAAGCACTCACTCACATGCCTCCATACCCCGCGAGGAAAGGGTCTACCCACCCACTTGTTCAACAGCCCGTAATATGGTACCCCGCAATTACCAATTCAGGCGGATTTCCTGGAAAGCGCCTTGACCTACCTAGAGCTGAACCCTCACGTCTTCCGCTACGCATGGTAAGGCACAAGGGGGAACACGCCGGTTAGAAGAGTTGCACATGCCACGGGTCACACGGATAAGGGTTTGAACGCAGTTCGTTGTCCATGGCACTGACTCTGCAGGCGTTCTTGGTGCAGCCCCTACTCGCCCTTCGCTGGGCAGCTACTTGGTTCTGAAACTGTATCACACGTGGTTAGAGGCGCATGCTAAACACCACGGTAAGCGATCGAGAGCTCCAGAGCACTTGGCGCAGAAGATGACGCCTAACACCGGGAAAACAGATTATTGCTGGGACGTTAAATCTCTCCCTTAATCAGGGGGTACTCGGTATCGAAGCTAGAAGGAGGCAACGCTGGCTTTGTTGGCCGAGCGGTGTGTGGTTACCATGCAAGTTCTCCTGGTGCCGTTCTGGTGCCGTTGCCCTCCTCTACACTGTACTTCTGTGGTGCAACTAGCGTTGTTCATTTGGTGCCCAGAAATGTTGCGGCTTCGTGGCGACGAAAATTTTTGTCGCCACCCCAATTTTGAAGAAACGGGGACATTGTTGGGGAGAACGGGAAATTCTCTGCAGGGACCCCTTCAAGAAGTGATGTGACAAGATTTTGAGGGCCCCCGACACTCCGAAACGATAGGAATTTCGAGTTTGCCCGAGTCAAGTCATGTCGGTTGACTTGTTGCTTCGTTAGAGAGCAAATATTCCGAGTTTGTACGAGGTTTCCTCGCTCCGGCGCGCCAACGGTACAATATTTTAGGCAGTTCCCGGACGGAACTGTTTCGCATGAGCTTATGCGAAGTGCTGCTTCGGTGCCGCCCTCGATACCTGGTCGCTCAATGTTCTCGACGAAAGGGCGACAGTAACACCTTTGAAGGTTGTGCACACAGGCTCTCTCGACCAATTCCTATTCTTATTGTTCGCAGACCATGCAAGAGTAGAGGTGGCATCCTCCAACGATGACAACGATGACAAGTTCTTGTGCATACCCTTACCCAAACCCTACAACGCGGAAGGTTCACCGCGATATCTGCCGACAACGACGGGCTCGACAACTCCATCAACCTGCTTGACGCCGAGACCAAGGAGCTGACAGTCGTCGGAGATGTGAGCTTCGCCGCGCGGTCGCAAACCGTTATCGTTGTTGTCGTCGTCGTCGTGATTGTTGTTGTTGCTGTTGTTGTTGTTGTTGTTGTTGTTGTTGTTGTTGTTGGTGTTGTTGATGGTGAAAATTTTGTCACTGGTTGGTGTTGCCGTTGGAACGTTTCGCGGCTGTCTTTTTTCTGATGACGCCACCACCCCAGCTCAAACACGGTAGCCCTCTATTGTTTCCATACCCCAACCAACCCCTTGCCCTTGCGCTCCCCGTCTCTATCTTATATCCCAGGTCTTCGTGTCGAAATATGCCGATCTCCAGCACTGTTCGAAAGAGCCAACAGTGTCGACACAGGCCGCCGACGCCAGCTCTGATAGCCCTGAGAGCTCTGGTAGCTCTGATAGCTCTGGCAGCTCTGACAGCTTTGATAGCTCTGGCAGCTCTGACAGCTCTGACAGCTATCTTAGCTCCAATAGCTCTGATAGCTCTGACAGCTCTGACAGCTCTGATAGCTCTGATAGCTCTGACAGCTCTGACAGCGGCGACAGCGGCGACAGCGCTGATGATGCGCCTTCCGCTACGCCGGCAGTTGCCACCCCGGCGGCCGTGGAGCCGACTGACTCTGGTTCTGGCGATTCGGATTCCTCCGACAAATACAGTGGAGACTCCGATTCTGATTCTTACGAAGACAGTGAGGAGTCTGGTTCAGATTCAGATTCAGATTCCAGCTCCGAATCCGACTCCATGTCGGATTCCGATTCCGATTCTGAATCCGATTCCGACGAGAGTGGCGATAGCAACAGCGACGATGAAACCGAACCTGAGGGAAACCCGGAGATTGTTGTGGTCGGTGAGAAAGATCAGGATATCTGGTTTTCTCGCAGTAGACTATGTGATTCCCGACGGAGGTGCGTTGTCGTAAATGTGGTGCCTGGACGAGTAGACGAGATGGGCCGATGTCGTCGACGATGACGAAGACTTCCCACGAGGTTAGCTGGCATTGTACCCCGCGAACCTAAACTCCCGTCCCTTCTCGACCGTTTTAGGCGGAGAGGCACGAGCAGACTTGGATGTAGATCCTCTCGCAACCGTGATCACGAACGCGGTCATCGCGAACGTTGGCGGGGCTGGGTACTACGACGATGTGGTGGACATGATTGACGGGGAGAACATGAACTGCCCATCGTATGACGATGCTTGTGTCAAAGAGGTAAGCATAGACTTGTGGAATGACACTCTGCACCGGGAACACTTTATGCGGAAGGTTGATGCCGTATACGGTTCGCGGGTTGGGCGAAAGTATCCGATTCGTCCGTCGAGGAGCTACACGAATCGAAAGGTTTGGTTCTTGGCGTCCATCCGTGGTGCTGAATGTGCACCGTCGCAACTTCTGCTGTGCGTTCACCCCAAGTTGTCACGTGAAGCGAGGACGCGGTCTTGTTTTTCGAGCTGCAGCCTTTCGATGCCTGAATCGCCTTCGCAACTATGAGCACGACCTGTCTAGAGCCTAGAGGAGATTCTGTCGTCGGTATCGCCTCTGCACGCATGTCAGGAAGTGTGCGTGAGCGGCGGCCTGGCTCCTTTCGACGAAGTGTCTGTGTCCTTCCGGGGACCCATGAACCTATACAACATCGCCTGGTTCGAAGGCACCGCGGATGGGACTCTAGAACGTACCACCTCGTGGACTCCGGGGTAAGTCTAGCTGTAGTCACAGAGGGAACTGTCTATTTTAAAAGTGTTCCAAGCAAACGAATCACCGAGGCACGTATGTATTGTCAGGATTTGGGCGCTTGGACGTACGTCTCCCTAACTCAGTGCACACGGCGAATCTCGGTTCAGGGAGTTTGGCCTTGTGAAGCGCAGAGCAAGTGTTTCAATATGGCTCTATCTACATGCTGGTGGTGCTTCCAACATGTCGAGCCTCTGTTGCGATTTAGCATCCTACGCCCTCCTCGCCTCATGTAGCATGGCATCGAGAGACATATCGCCGTTGCTTCACGTATCCGGGGATAAATGGTACGAATAAAACGTGGAGCTCATCCCGGGCCAATAATACGAAGACGATCATGTCGGAACGCGTGTGTTCGACCGAGAATGCCGCCTCCCAACTCACTCCAATACCGTGGATACCTACTTCAATGAAAAGTCTACCGATATCGGTGAGCCCGGGGATAATGGCAAGCAGAGTTAGGCACACACAGGAGCGGAAAGACACATATACAATCAGCCGTACTCCTGAAGCAATCATCCATTTGATGACATGAGCATGCCCTTCCCCGCCCACCCGACTAGCTCATGCGACGCGTTTTGACACCTGCTACGGGGACACACTTACTTGCAGTGAGCTCGGAGGCAACATCTCTTTCATGAACAATCGAGGAGGACTCTCCGACTGCTCCGGCGAGTGGAGCATCTGTGGCGGAAATAGCCAGAGCTTCGCGGACGCCACGGTGAGGAGTTGCCCTCCATTGATGGGTTTCGCCAAACCCCAAACGATCTTATTGTACTAGATATCGTTGGGGTACGATGTCTATCAGACCTCCTGTTCATGGGCAATTCTGTCAGACGGTTAGCGACAGAGCTTGGCTGCATGGGTGTGCGTGGACGCCTTGCAGAACAGCAACGTTGTATGGCCAACTACCTGCTTTGGAAGAAGTGCATAGGTCAATCCTCCCAATAGTACGATGCGAAATACTCCGAAAGCACGAGGACAAAAAAAAATGAATCGGCAGTGAGCTTCTTCGCAGTGTTGTCTATCTAGCCCCTTGGCAGCTCCGACATGTTCTTGGCCGGGGGGGGTCCGGGTTTGAGGAGAAACTTCAGCAATACTAGACGGCTCACGCCTGCGGGCACATATCTACTGCAGCACTTGACGTCATCTTACAGTCATCCTTGGAGCGTTGTTTGTGACGTGAAGTTTCGTTCCACTTATTCTGCGCGCCAGCGTGCACCCGTCGGGAGGTAGTCAAACCCATAACCTAGACTCCGAAGGCTCTATGAGGGTACCCGCTGAACCATCGGGGCAACCGGCCCAAATTCTACGGGCCGAGCTCTCGGAATCACCCGCGAGGCCCCAGACACGAGGCTATGCAAACAACAGGATAGTACAGGAGCAATGTCCATTTTTGAATGGGGTTTTCTTGGTGAAGTGGGCTGTTGTGGTTGGGTGCTAATCCTTGCCCGTTGATGCCCGTTCCAAAATACTCAAATTCCCTCAGGGGACCTACTGTGCTGCTGGGAGCACGCCCTTCGATGGAAACCTTCCCGACGACAACGAGATAAACATCATGACGCAGTGGGAGTGTGCCTCCAAGGAGCAATGCGGGTAAACAATGACACGGACCGATCGTCGGCAACAGAAACGTGGCCATGCGATAGGCGTCCAAATAATCTGTGTATGTAGCGATCTCGTTCTCTTTACTTCATTGGGATTAGGGGGAAAATACCCCGCATTATGCCGTGCAAGTAGAGTGCGACGACAATAAGCGGAACATTTGGGGGTCAGTTGGGAGGAGCCAGTAGGGCGCGAGGACCGCGAAAAGGAAGATCCATGGAAAACCCTTCTGTGTGGTACTTTCCGTCGAAACACACGAACATGGAAAGGACGAGGGCTTCCAGACTGAACGCTTATGCTATGTGCCGGACGTCGACATTTTTCGTCTTGACCACCAAGAGAACAAGCAAGCCTACCGAGGGCAGTGTTGTAATGGACTGAATGTGGCATTTACCGTCAAATCATATGTTTGCAAACCTCGTACTCCCAAGAAGCGTGACATTTCGCTTGTTCGCGCCTTGTTCCTGTTTCCACGTGCTTTCCCTCGTGTCTTGTTTTTATATTGAATACGATCTCTGCTCCGGACAAATCAAAACACGGGGAAAAGATTCTACCGTCACACCGGAATGCGTGGTTGGACGGGAGGAAAAGACGGCACCAAAGTAATGATATTCGAGCTGGACATGCCGCACTGTGAGAAGGAGACCTGCCACTGGAATCGGCCCGCCGTGTGGGCCTTGAACGCCAGGGTACGTCGGGTCGGGTCCGCTGATCGAAGCACGAAAATTGCGTCTTGAGACGCCGCGGTATTGTCCACGACGTACGTAAATGGTACAAAGACGCGAACTGCAGTCTTTTCTTGTCGCATTCCGCTGTGCAAGTATCCCGAGCTGACGTGGTGCCATGTCCGGGGGTGCGAAAATGACGTATCTCTTGTTTCTCTGCGGTGGCGGCACGGTAGAACGTATCGCTACCCAAGACCACAACCCGGACGCTAGGAGCCCAATCAGGGCGTTCACATTCACTTCTTCTCTCATTTCGGTGAATCTTCTGTCGATTTCAGATTCTGCGAACCGCGCAGTACGGGTGCAACTGCCGTGGCATGGGAGGAAATGGTGGCTGTGGGGAGTTCGACATCATTGAGGGTATCGTCGGCAACAAATACAGCGATATGCTTTTCACGACGGTACGACGGTGCTGCTAACGCAAACAGACGCCTCGTGTCACTACCTTTCGCTGTAGGTTTTCGGATTATTTTTTAGTAAAAGCAAGTATCGCCCACGGTACCTTGGGGAATTGGTCTTGACAACACCTATCTATAGGTGGTTCCCTCGGCCCTTGGTTTGATGAAGGCACTGCACAGGCTCGGGCAACCAGTTGAGACTCCTGTTTACTATAATAGTGAGAATGTACGGGAATTTGTGAATGTCGTGTTCACAGATACATCGATCATGGCAACACCGACCGTGTGAGAACATGAAAAATGTTTAATGAGTGGTTCAACCCCGCATCACTGAGATTTGCCAACCCCAAATCCCTCAGAATATGTCTTTTGTGCCCGATGAGCTCCTGTGGGATACTACGACAATGTTCCGCTGCCGTTGATTGCTTGGAACGAATTACTGGCATCAATGAATCATACCCTAGCGTTCCGTCTACTTTTCATACATGATAGTACACCGACATCTACTTCTTCCCCTATTCTCACGCAGGTTTATGACTTCAAAGGAGCCGGCAGCCCAGGAACATCCAGATACTTTGAGCGCCCTTCGGTGAGCTTTTGCAGATTCCTACTTTGTACCTGAAACGCCTTCACCCGCATCGTATCTTTTCCTGTCTAACTTTGTCAAAGCTCGGTGTCAGGAGACGTGCATTCCGGGCATTCCTGAGTTTGTTGAGATTGGCGTGTTTATACCCTCCATGCTCATAGATGTATGCATCCCCCCCCCCCCCTTT